TTTCTTTGAATGACTGTTACCTAAACCAAAGCCAGCAGAACTCCAAAGTACAGTATCATGAAAATAGGTAAAGAGAATTTCCACTGCTCCTTAAAGCTTTTTTCTGGGTCTTGGTAAACATAAGTTTATGCTGTAGCTTTTCTTTTACTACAGGTGCTCTGTTTGGCCACTTTTCCCCATAAAAATGGGAAGAATACAATATCTTTGAGATCTTCCTGACAATCCTTTTGTCAACTATTATTGCAGGTAAAATATAAGATTTGCTGATGGAAGCAAGTGGATACAATGGTGGGACCATAGAGATTCCACAAGCTCATCTGCCAGTCTCTTGCAGCCCTTCCCTGTCTTTCAGGTGCAGAGCTGTTGCCTGATGTTTTCCTGAAGTTTCCAGGCCATTACTTCTTGTCCTGTCTTTGTTTCCCTGTGTTTGAGTGTGGATGACAGTGTGCCTCCTTTCCTCGAGCAGCAGCTTTTCATTTTGTATTCTTATGCCAACTGAAGTCTCTGTTTGCTGTCCCATAGCAAAGCTCCTAATCTTTCCATGGATTTGTCCACCTCTAAGAGCTCTGGAATATGTACTGTTGTCTCTTGCATTCCCATTTCTATGTAACGGTGACTGAGGCACTGCAGTGTGAGACATAACTAAAGCAAATGTGATATTTAGAGAATAACTGACCAAAATTTTGCAGTTATTGAAAAGCTTGTCTGGTTAATTTTGTTTTAAATCTCATTTTCATGAAGTGATTTCTTCTAATCTTCACCATCTGCATAACAAGTGTAATCAGTGAGCTGAAATGAAAATCTCTGCAACCTCTGCCCTTCAAATCAATCACAAATTAAACCTGAAAACAGTGTCTTCTAATGGGAAAAAACCCTTTTGTTTATTTCTCTGCACTAAAGTAAACCATTTACTCTTTCTTGAAAGAATACAAATAGATGTTACTAAGCAACTTTTTCTTTTTTTGGCTGAGTTTTGTCTTCATCACATCTAGAAGTAAATGCTGATTTAGAAGCCTTAGACTTTTTGCCAGCTGGCAGTGCAGGATATTCATGGGAAATTTGAGGGGCATATCCTGGTGACCCCTCAGAGCTCCCCAGAAAGGCAGCAGCACAGGGACTTGCCCCAGAGTGTTACATGGGAGGAGCATTTACAGCGTTGTCCTGCAGCCTTGGCCTGCAGTGTTGTCTCCTCTCAGCAGCTGGCAAGAAAATGCAGGTAACTTTTGGAGAGAAAAACTGGCTCAGTGGAGAGGATTTTTAGAAATTCCACCATAAACTTTTGTTACACACAGCTTTGTCATTGTCCTTTGAAAAGGCCACTGACAGGTAATGTCCTGATTCTTTTCCTGGCACTGTGTCACTAGGAAGGGCTTTTGCACAGTATGGGCTTTTCTGTTTTCTGGATCAGAAGGTTGCTGGTAAATTCCCTTCCTGGAGCTCTATTTGAGTAATATTCTCTGTGAGGAAAAGAATCCATGCAAATGGTAATCCTTCAAAACAGTTGAGACAGCACTGTGTGCCAGAGGGCTGAAAAATGTGAATGAACATGTCCTGATTTACCAGCAAGGTCTGTTCCTCCAGTGCAAGTATTTAATCTGCTGACAAGGAGATAAGGGGCTTTGTACAGCTTGGAGACCAAGCTAATATCCCAAATATGATACAAGCAAGGATACCTTTGGAAGAAGTTATAATGCAGCATAGTGAATATCTGTTCTCTTCTGTGCACACAGTTGTAAAGGATACTGCAGGTTCTTCCATAGCAGTATGTGCAGAAACAAAATGTTGTTTTGGAGAATAAAAAAACCTTGAGCATTTTCTCACTTCCTGTTAAAGAGTCTGAAATTTTCATTTCCAAAGTAAATGAAAAAATAGGGTCAAATCCAGTTTTCTTCTAATCAAAGTCTACTTGTGTTCAGTTTCCTACTTCATTTACTTCTGAAGCATAACCATTAGCTAGGACTACTAAGCATAATAAGAAACAAATTGAAGAATGTTTGCTCTTCATCTTCAGACTCATCATTTGTGAATTGATGATAGTTCTTTTTGATATATGAAAGGTTTTCTTTTGTTTTATGATTTGGTGTGCAGGTACAGAACCCTTCATTGTGCTCACTGCTGGCAAGAACTACGAGAAATGTCACTGATTAAAACATACACATTTTGTTTTCTAGTCATTGCTTTCTTCTGATAACATTTTGAAACCTTAATGAACTGTGGTATTCTTATCCTTGTAACTATCAGAGACTTCAAAATAGGAATTAAAGACATTTCTACTGAAAAGTTCAAGTCAGGGCTGAATAAGAAAAAATAAGGAGTTTACTAACTCCAAGTGCAGTTTCTTCTATATGAGCTAACATGAAAGCATTGCTCAGTTGAAGTTTGATACCAAGTTGACTTTTATCAGGAGAAGCAAAGTCCAGTCCATAAATACATCCTTACATATGCACCTCTGTGCCTGTCGTGATTTAATGCCAGGCAGCATCTGAGCACCACACTGAGAAAACTCAGGTTGAGCTCAAGACAGTTTGATAGGTAAAGAAAAAGCTGCGTGAACAAGGAAAGCAGAACAAGGAATCCATTCACCACTTCCCATGGGTAGCAAACAACCATTTCCCCTCTTCTTCCTTCAGCTTTATAAGCTTGATGTTCTGTGCTGTGGAGCATCCCTTTGGCCAGTTTGGGTAGGATAAGGACAGGGAGAGATCAGTCACCAATCACCATCAAAGGCAAAACAGACTCAAAGTGGGGATATTAATTAAATTTACTACTGACAGAATCAGAGCACAAGAATGAGAAGCAAAATAAATCTTAAAAACACCTTCCCCCCTACCCCTCCCTCCTTCCAAGTTCTATCTCCTCCCCACAGCAATGCAGGGAGATGGGAATGGGGGTTATGGTCAGTTCATCACAGGTTATTTCTGCTGCTGCTAAGGGACAGGAGTCCTTGCCCTGTTCCCCGTGGGGTCCCTCCCACGGGAGACAGTCCTTCACAGCCTTCTCCAGCGTGAGTCCATCCCACTGGTAACAGTTCTTTGCAAGCTGCTGCAGTGTGGGTCACTGTTCCATGGGGTGCAGTCCTTCAGGCACAGTCTGCTCCAGCGTGGGTCCCCCACAGGGCCACAAGTCCAGGGAGAACCTGCTCCAGTGTGGGCTCCTCTCCCCATGGCTCAGCAGCTCCCTGCAGGGACCCTGCTCCATCATGCGCCTCTCATGAGCTCACAGCCTCCTTTGGGCATCCACCTGCTCCTCCATGGGCTGCAGGTGGGTCTCTGCACCCCAATGGTCCTCCATGGGCTGCAGAGGAACCTCAGCTCTGGTGCCTGGAGCCCCTTCTGCCCCTCCTTCTCCACTGACCTTCATTTCTGCAGAGTTGTTCACATGTTCTCACTCTGCTCTTCTCTGGCTGCAATTTTTATCTGCCAAATAACTTTTTTTTCCTTCTTAACGATGTTATCCCAGAGGTATTTCTGCCATTCCTGATGGGCTTGGCCTTGGCCAGTAGCAGCTCCATCCTGGAGCTGTCTGGCATTGGCTCTGCTGGACATGGAGGAAGCTTCTGGCAGCTTCTCACAGAAGCCACTCCTGTAGTCCCCCTGCTACAAAAACCTGGCCTCAGAAACTCCATAAAACTAGCTACTAAGAGGAAAATAACCTCAATCCCAGCTGGCACCAGGATAATGTCCATGTCCATGTAAGTACTGGTGACATAATAATCAGATTTTTGCAGATGTAACCCAGTTTTCAGCTGGGACTGTCTCACTCCTTTCCTATCCTGAGCTATTGGCAGTGAGTGGGCTAAGGAACAGGTAGGGATGAGGAGAAAGCATATGTTCCTCCATTTATGGAAATTTTTTTTCCACATATTTTCTGTTCTTCCCTACCACTGTTTAGTGAACTTCCACTCCTCCCATAGTAGACAGCAGATGGGGGCAATGGACAAGAGGGAACTTGTGATAAAGTTGATAAAGAGAGCGATAAAGCTGATGTGAAAGTTTTTATATCTGAAAGGCAAGGTTGTAGGAAAGACAGTATATATTGTGAAATAGTTCATATAGTTGGGAACAAGCAGATGAGCTTTTGGGCATACCAGCTCTTCTTCAGTTCCGTGGAAGGTACACACACACTTCAGTTCATGTACTGAAGGAGTGCTCATCAGCCATGGTTAACTTGAACTTGCCTTTAGCAAAGAACATGAATTCTTTTGAAAAACCCAGAATAAAACTGAGTAGAGTTGCATGGAAATGACTTTTCTTTTTGAAGTCTCTGAAAGATAGGTACAAGGTGAAGATTGCAGCAAGCTGCATGCTCTTTGTGCACAGGGTTCATGCAGACTGGGCATGCTCTGAAGTTTTCCTCTTACATCCTAAGTGTATGCCTTAGTTGTCACACCATGGAGCAACTGTGAAATGTAGAGTTTGCTTCAAACAGCAGATTTCTCCACTGGGATTTTTAATAGGATGCCAGTTCTAACTGGAGGTTACAGCTTTGCCGCTGATCACCATATTAAGGAGCTGCAGCATTTCCCAATGGCCAGGAGACATTTATCAGGTGACAACCACTATAGACCTGGGCCACATTCAAGTGAACATCTTGTGAAAGGCCATGGATCGTGCTCAGTGAGCCATTCTGATACCTGAAACTGTGGACTTAGTGATCCAGGACTAAATTAAATAGAAACAGTCCAGTGAATGTCCAATTTTACTCAGTCATCCAAATATATTATGATAATCCAGCACTATGCAGAGAGAGACTGTGGTTGAGATAATCGTGACTGTTAATTTTCAGCCCTGTTGCTAAAGGACATTCCTCTGGAAATGATTATAAAGATGTAGGGAAGCAGTATTTGAAAGACAATTACTTTTATTTACCTCCAGAATGAAAGGCAAAGGAATTTATGAGGTTTGTAACTGTTTGATGTTATTTCTATAAAACGTGTTTGTTTCCATAAACAAGAACAAAATATATTCACACAGCAGTGTCAAAGAAGTAAAAATCTGGCTTCGTTCTTCTTTCAGACAAAACAGAACAGCAGAACAGTGTGATGAAGATCTGGGCAGCTTTCTGCTCAGTTTTATTTCTTCTTCCTGAATGTCTGATGGCACACCTGGTCTTCACATGTCAGTTCCTACAGTATTAAAACAATGAGTAAATATGTAGTGGTAGAAGTTGTATTTTGCATACACAGCAGATTCCACCAGAAATTAATGCAACTGAGCCCCATAAAAAACTTATGCTTATGAAAAAGAGAACAGAAAGAATAGTGTATTATATGTAACCAAACAGCAGGCATGCACCTCATGTTGCAGTAATTAGTTTTTGACACTTGAATTGAACTCTAAGAAGAATAGACATGAAAAATGCACAAAAACTGTGCTTTAATGCAAGGCCTTTTCATGCTCTGTTATTAAAACAACATACTGTACTAGTTTATAATTCACGTTACCTTGTAATTCATGAGAAGCAATGAAACAAGGAAATTAAAAAAAAAAAAAAAGAATTCTTTAACAAGATGATTTTCTTCAGAGGTGTGCCCAGCCATTTCTGAGGGGCCAGAACAATACACCATTTTTGCCCAGTGTTGCAGCTGACTCCTTCAAGTTTGGCACAGCTGCTCATTGCAATGCAGTCAGTTTGGTTAGTCTGACCAGCCAGCATTCCTGTGCAAACAGGATTTGGAGGGAGCTGGAGCTGGCTTTTTGGCCAGCAGTGAGCTAATACCTGCAATACAGTTTCTCAAGACTCTTGTAAGGATCTACTTGGCCTCTCTGTTTCCACCAATCTGAGCCTCAGTCATGGTTCCATCATGTAGAACCTTTGTTAGGTCAGCTTTTGAGGATGTGTTAAAACAGGTTTGAAGTCCCTGGACAGTTGACTTTTAGTTTGGTGGCAGATCATGGTTTTTAGGTCATAGCTTTGACCTTTCAGGGGTGCAGACCTGAGCCACTGTTGTTGCCACACCAACTGTGCACAGAGGAAACGTGTGAAGGAGCAGATGTCTGGGTGCAAACACGAGACAGAACAATAAGATCTCCTCCACAACATTCCTCCACCCACCCATTGTGCCATCCAACACTATCATGCCCATTTCCTGATTGCTCTCCCAGGACACTCTGGAATCATTATCATTCTGTGAAATGTTCAAAACCATGAGTAGATGTGGCACTTCATGGTATGGTTTAGTGGGCACGGTGGTATTCAGTCAAAGCTTGGATTTGATGCTCTTGGAAGTCTTTTCCAACCTTAATAATTCTATGATTCTATTATTTTGAAATCTTTCTGGACTTCACTGGCTGCTTATTTCCTGCACAGGTTCTTCAAGCCTCTCTTGGACTCCGCTTTTCTGCAATGTAACAGGAGGGGTTAATGGCTGGAGGGCAGTGGACTGGAGAAAAAACCCACTGCGGGGTTATGACTTAATTGGGAGCAGGTGGAAAGAAATTGAGCATTCCTATTACCTAAGGGTAATTTCCTTAGAGTTCAGAGATCAACTGTCTAAACAAAGACCTTTCTAGCTCGAAAAAGGATCCTTTGAAATGGAAAAGCTGAGCGTGTTGCACCCTCAGAGATGTGCCATGGATCTGCACAGCAGCCCTTACCAGGTGCAGAATGTCTCCTTCAATCCAGTGCTTCCAGCCCCTGTTGTTCTTTTCACCTTTCTGCACACAGACCAGTTTGTCACCATCCCAGGTCACCAGTGTCTGCACGAGCCAGATAATTAACGCAGATACGTTAATGAGAAGTTCAGGAATACATGAAAATAAGTTCAATCAAATGATGGAAATACACAATTACACCACTGCTTTCTATCATTCCCCATTTTCCTCCTAAGAGAACACAAATGCCTTTTACCAAAACCTCAATGCATTCAAGATGCCAACAGCATTTTGATGGGAAGCTTTTGCAGTGCTTTGTTTTCATGCCCATGTGTCTCTTCACATCCACAAATATCAAGTGTTCACACCAACCAGTGAATCTGAGTGAGTTAACAGATAATTGTGCAATATATGCACATTATATTTTTTTCTTGGTGTTTAAAGCCATTAATAAGACAGGTGAAGACCTGGGGCTTGTACCAACTAGTGCAGTGCTAACACCTTTTCTAGGTCTGCATCAAGTAACAAGAGGAAGTGGATGTTACTATCATCTCACACAATACAGTTTTTGATATATTTTCATGCACTTTTATGAAGACATTTAAAGAGATGTGATCATAAGCTGGACAATGTGCTGTAGCTGACCCTACTTGAGCAGAGGGGTTGCACAAGGTGATCTCAAGAGGTCCCTTCCATCCTCAACCGTTTGATGATTGGTGTCACCAGTCTGTCACCAGTAGAAAGGGTATTGGGGGTGCTGATTCTTGTCCAGGAGCAGAATAACTTTGTCAGTAAGGACAAATTCTCTACAGATGTGCTGGGGTACATTCACAGCGACATTGTTTGAACTGTTCTAGGTTTGAACAATTGCACTTTAGGGGCACATTTAACCACGTATCAGACAAATCCTTTTTAGAGACCAGTTACAGTCCATGTAAGTTCAGTTATGATAAAGCTCCAAGTGTATTGGGACCTTAATCATTTTCTAGCTCAGCACTGGATAATTTATTTCTCTTATAGGGAGCTTTCTATTAATGAGACAAAACTCATTCCATTTCAGTTAATTTCTTTTTTATTTACGGAATTTTCAAGCTACATGCTCTTTAAATTACCCATGCCCTCTTTACATTTAAATGTTGCCTACCAATTTTATTACCTTCATCTAACTTTAATATGTTTGTGGCATTGTTTAGTTAATAAAATGACCAGAACATTCTTTTAGAGCAGTCCAGAGAATAATGGCATGGCATGCTTCCTTTATGCTTCTCTTCTCATTAGGAACAAATAATATAATTTGTTTAGAAAACAATGTTAGGCCAAAGATTTTGAAAAGATTTTGCAGAGAAAGGCAAGGCTTTGGCAGTGGTGAAGAGCACTAGAGGAATTGCTAGTTGATGGATTTAAGGAGTGATGCATCTAACGAGTCCTTAGATCCTTCATGATGCCTTCAACTGACCTAAAGAGATGTGGGAGCAATTTTTTAAAGCATAGACTTTGTCCCAGGAATATGTCCCACCCAGTGCTCACTGGAGGAAGAGATAGGAAGAAAATTTCAATAGAGGGATATTCAGGATAGTGGGAAAAAATTGGGTTTTATTATTTGATGCCTTGCAGTGCTGTCAATGGGAAATAATTTGGCAGAAGTCATAGAAATTACACTGCACAAAGTTAGCTTGAGAATGAAAAGTGATCCATGCTGAATAAACAGTGTCTTGTGTTAAATTTGTGCCTCTCCAGTGAAGGATGATGTGAGTTCAAATGTAAACACGTCCTTTATGCTGCCAATCTCCTGTGGCAATTGCCAAAAGAAAAACAGATCTTGTTGACAGGGACCTTTGATCTCAGCTTCTCAGAGTTTGGCAACTGAGAGCTGAGTGGCAGAACAGGACTGTGGGAATTGGCAAAAGGGATGCAGGTGGATACAGTGAATGGTGACAAGAGGAGGCAGGTGATGCAGCATTAGCAAGGCTCTGAAGGGGACAGGCGATGGAAATTTAAGATCTGCTGGGCTTTCTAGCTTTGAAAATCTTGCTTAATTATTTTAGGGGTGAGAAGAGAGTAAAACCGCGGCAGTGTCGATACAGAAACATGACGCTGAATTCAGTAAATGAATCAATACTCAAATGTGTTCCTTTGCTCTCTGATAGAGCCTGGTCTGAAGGCCCCACAGGAACAGACTCACTGGCTCTGCCACAGGAGGGAGGGAAGGGGCCAACGCACAACCTGGCCCTTGATCCAAACCTGTGTGTCTGAACGAATCCCCACAGACTCCAGGAGGAATTCTGAGCTCAGGTTACTCCAATAATCCAAAAGGTGTTAGAGCATCCACGGCTGGGCCTCCTTGCCCCCCTGCCAGCAGCCCTGCCACCTGGATCACTGGCAGCTCTCACTCACATTTCCCTCCTGCCTCTTCCTGAAGCTCCCTTAAGGTTCAGAGCCAAGTGCAAGTTTATTTTTAACAGTGTCTGACTGTTAAACTGCCCAGCTGAGGCTGATCAGGCTCACATTAAAAATACACTGCGAGCACAACCACTGCAAAGTGAAAATTTATATTGACATAGAAACACTCCTAAATTCACAGGGGTGAAGTTAAAGTTTCATTAAAAAGGATACATAGGTAAAAATAAGTTTCTCTACTCTCTAAATACACAGAGATGTATCATGGAAAAGCTGGAAAAATTCCCTTCTAGAAAAACATGCAACTAATGATCGTCCTCATGAGTCTGAGGAACCATCCTGATTCACATTTCTAATAAATCCTTGTGGCAGGAAAGAAAACTGTCTCAAGAGGCAAATTATTTCTGCTTTATAAAAATCCTCTGATGTTTGCAAAATATTGGGCTTTTATTTAATGCATTCAGCTGATTTTTGAAACTGCTGACTCGGGTACCAGATTTTTACCTTTACCACTCGGTTATCCAGTCCTTTGGTGTGTTCTTCAAACTCCACTCCCACTGTGTAATCCAGATCATAGTTTCTGAAAGTGCTGAGTGTTTTTGTTTTAAAATGATCTCCATTTTGAGTAATCTCCTTTGTTTGTTTCAAGTGTTTTGCAATCTTACGAGTTGCAAAATCAATACCTGTCAAAAACCAGAAAAGAGAGTATCACAATGAAAATTCCAGTATTTGATACCAAAAAAAAAAACAAAAAAACCACACAAACAACCCAGAGCATATATTTATACACTAAAAAAATAATGTGGAATGAACCTACAGTATGTGGGAGTATATAAGAGGTTAATTAATTAATCTGAAATAATGAAATATATACTAATAAAAGAAAAAGAAACAATTAAATAAAAGCCTGACACCCATTATTGTTAGACAGTGGACACAGGAATAAATTGCAGTTTAAAAGGAGACAAATTCAAAGTCAAAAGTCCAAAAAGTATGTAGGTAGAGCATTTCCCAGTTCCTGTTTGATATTCTGTGAACATGTTATGCAGTTCTGATCTCCTGAACAACCCTATTTTGTCGGTGATGAAGACTAACATTCTAGTGTAAACAACTGCTGGCAGTGGGATGCATTGGAAGTCACCAAAGGCAGGGTATGGATTGCCATGATGACAGTTTGCTCAGCCAATCCTCCCTGTGCCAGCAGCATTAACAGCTGCAATAAATATTTCTCCCCAGCTGGCAGGGAATCCTATTCTGGTGCTCTATGCAAATGGAATCATCTCAAATGCTGCTGCAAGAGACTGAAAAATGGGTTTGGTTTGCCAGCCACCCTTTAGTGGTTCTGCATGGGAGTTCATCATTGTCAGCTCAGCAATGCCACATCCTACAGGAGCCTTTTTGCTTCTGCTAGATTCATTAGACTACTTGTGAAGTACTAATAAAGTTGAGTAAGGGGATTGGCTTGAAAAAAATGTGACTTTTTAACACAGGGAATAATGTTCTTGTTGGGTGTTTATATTCAAGACTTCTTGGGTATATTTTATCTGCTGTTGGTGGATTAAAGGTATCTCTGGGTCTGATTTATAGCCAGACAACATAAAATTTAGTTCTCTCTGAGGGAAAAAAATGTCGAGACCTCTAAAGAAATGCTATTTCTGACTAATATATTAGTCTTGTAGCTCCTGGAGAAAATTAGGGGAGGTTTTATTAAAGCATGGTTTTCATAACTGCATTTTGAACAATACAAGCAATAAAAATGATATATTGTTCAATTACAGTAGATTAAAATACTTCGTAACATGTTTACGATAAAACCAAAGTTCCTGACTTAGAGGACAAAAGTATTCTTTAATTAAAGTATGGAAATATGTGTGCATTAATTAAAAGGATGGATGAATTTTTTAAAAAAAAATCCAAAACTTCAGCGTGCTTTGAACCTGAGCGCTTTCATACTTAAAATACCAACTCTGTGTAAAATTGTGAGGAACAGAGCAGAAGAATATCTTTTCACCCTTTCCCTGTAATTTCTTTTCGTTCTGAGAATCACCTGTAGCATATCTATCTTTGTGTTGGTTGTGGTGTTGGGTTTTTGTGCTAAAGGCAGGCAGGGAGAGGAGCCTGAGTGAGATGAAGATGGCCTGGAACAGTCAATTTGTGACAACTGGAAGTTGTCCTAAGCATCAGCCAAGACCAACAGGCCCCGTATTTAAAGCTGAAATCACATTTTAGTTGCACAAAAACCAGCAATTATTCTTCATGCTTAACCAACTGCCAAACCCCAGCATGCAAATCACTTCAGTTAATGGGTATCTTTCTTCTGAAATTCATGGCATTGGCTTAAGCATTCTTATTTTTTAAAACCTCATGAGTATCTGTGTATATTAACTACAGGTGGCCCTAAAGTTATTGATCTTTTTCTATAAATGCAAAGACCAAAAACTACAAATAGTGAAAATTGCCTTTCTGTCTTAAGAGAGTTGAAGTTTTGAGGAAATTACAAATATTCTCAGTTGCTGGTGAATAATGATGAGAGTTTATTTATAAGTATTTATGTGTATATATTTATAAGTATTTATGTGTTCCTTCTCTTTCAATCTGAACAGATAAATCAGTTAGGGTTAAGATTCTTTGGTAAGAGTAAAGCTAGTACAAAATCACTTAAAGCATCACATTTTTCATTTATGTAACATATAATTTTGTTAATTCAAAGCACTAATTAAGTATTAGCATTATGGTTGCTTTAGTGATATAGAATATCCTATTCCTCTTTAGCAGAGCTAACTAGGCTGTGGCTTCTCTGTTACAGTAAGTATTTACCAGGAATAAAAAAGTGTTTCTATATCTGAAAGCCCATTGTTTTGGATTTTTCTTCCCCCCATCTGTATCTGTTTTTTCATTTATCTAAATGAAGAATAATATATTTGGCTACAAATCTTCTCTTGCTTACATACTTCTGTTAAGTCCGTTACAATTTGTTGATTTTTACTTGATTGGCAGAAACCCTCATGCCACAACACCCATTACAGAAATAATCTCATTAATTTTGAGGAGGATTTTCCTTATAATTGAAAACACATTCCCTTATCTCTGTGTAGTTAATATTTTGTCACTCACCTAAAGCAACCATGTAGCCTTCAAAGTTTTCATTGCTTTCCATCTCCCACGTCCCATTGTAATCAGCAGGCATGGTGGCAAGGGCTTCAAATCACCTTCAGCTCCAGAGGGGAGGCTGGAAACAGGGGCTGCTCAGAGAATGTTTTATAAAGCTTTTCATATCTTTTTTTCTTAATAAGGTTTATGGTTTTCTAGATAATACAGTGTAAGGGGCAGAGTGATAACCCTGGAAACTTTGCCTTCATTAACAAAGTTCACTTGAACAGCTGGCAGACCAGGAACACCTTCAGAAAGCTGGAGTAATACAGGATATGATTTTACAGTGACCTTTGTAAAGAACGACAAGCTATTATGGGATACCTTTGAAATACATTGAACACGGTGTCAAATTGTACGACCCAGTCAAAGTTTCCAAGGTGAATTCTCTTTTTCAGTTCCTTTCTGTGTGTCCCTGTTCCCTATGAGGAGAGAGTTTTACAGAACTGTCGCACCCAGAACTCCCATTTAAAATTTCTGGAAGTCTTGAATGTGCAAAAAAATGTAAGGCAGGGCAGAAAAGGGAATATTCCTGTTGAAAATATTTTGGTTTTCCTTTGATTTTCAAAGTATCTATGTACAAATAGCTGTACTTATACCAACCACACTTCCATATTTTTTAGTTTAACAGCAAGTTTATAAAATGTAAAGTAAATAAAAATCAATCTTCATTAGTATCAAGTCTGCCCTAAGAAGGATTTTTAATTACTCTGAAATGTTGTGTTAGAAAGCTGTTTTTCACCCACTGGCATTACATTGTTGTGGACAAAACCCCAGATTTCAGTTGTGCAAATAAGCACATTCAGAATGTGTCTAAATGGAGAATTTGAATGTGCAGTCAAACTTTATTGGAATTTAAAGTAAGTACTAAAAGCAAATTAATATAAGATAAGGTTTTACATTATGTGGCTTTAATCTGTCAAGAGAACTTAGAGATGGCTCTACAGAGAGAGTAACTGAAATGATCAGCAGTCAAAAACTCCTTAAACTCCTTGCCTTTCTTTCCCTCCTCTTTCTTCCTTTTTTTTTCTTTTTATGGGTACATTGTTAAAAAATTTACTAGAAAAAGTAATAAGGTCTAGAACTCTAACTCAGAAATTACAAAATTGAATAGTTACTGATCTTATAATGTCTCTTCTATTGCCTTCATTTTGTTAAAATTTAATGTAAAATACCCCAATTGCTGAAAATTTATGTAGGGATTAAAAAAAAAAACCCAAAAGACCAAAAAACTAAAGAAATTTGAGAGTTTCTGGGAGCTGAGTTCTTAAAATGCCTTAACTCATGCACATGCATAATAATCTTTACCTTATCACACTGTCCAGTGTTCTCCTCTCCTTCAGGATACTGAAACAATGATGTGCAATTTCTAAGCAGGTAGTGGGTGTTTTACTTTATATGTCCAGATGCCAAGGGGTGGATTCATGAGGAGTAAATCAGACTGAACGTCTACAATCACCTCCAAAACTCAGAGCATTGGCTGGAATCTCATGGGCAGAGATTTTGTGTGCTCATTGATTTTAGTTCTGATGCAGTTTGCTTCCTGTGTAACAGTCGTTTTGGTAGGATGTGGAGGACGCTGAAGCTGTGCCATGTGATGATCACCAATTAATGGCCATTAACAACAATAAAGTAACAGAGGGTCCAATTGCTGTAGATATGCAGAGCCAGGCACGCTCAGACAAAGTCAATTATGAGACAAGTACATCCTTTGCATAAAACACCATAATTAATTAACAGCATACACACATAATTGTACAGGGTTTCCCCATGATGTTTTGATTATATTAATCTTTTTTTAAATTATTTTTTCCCCAATGTGTATATTGTCTAAGCACATGTTTACTCATTAGACTAAAGCAGCATTTTGAGCCTTTTCAGGTAAATATACAGCTAAGAGGTTTACAGACAAAAAGTTTAACCAATCAAAGAACTGGCTAAATAAGGAATTAATAAAACTGAAATACTGAAAATGAAATACTGACTTGACAGAGTTCTGTGCTGCTTCAGGAGCTTTTAAAGAGTGTTGTGTCAAGGTCCATAAAGAGAATTTTCAGTTTAAGAATCGGTATCTTGGTAGATAGTAAAACCTCTACCACAGATAAACACCTGCCTAAATCATGTGGTGCCAAGACACAGTTTGGATACTGTGAACACAACTCTTTGTGTCAGTTATCCACACTAGGTGGATAATTGCAAGTCTTGGGTCTGTGCCTTACTAGTTATACTAACCCGCCTCTCATAACATTTCAGCTTTAAAATTTTGACTAATTATTCACTTGAAACCTTAGAAATTATTCAGTGTGCTCTGTATTTACTGTTTATGTGCTGTAGACATAGAGACAAACTTTCAAAATGGCAAAGGAATATTTCCTTCCCATGGGACAAGTCTACTTTTGGGGAAATGAAGATAAGGTGCCTTCTCCTGATTGTTGTGACTGTTTTGTCCTCAGCATCCTTTTCTTGCAAGACCACCAGGGATGCCATGTGCACCATGTGCTGAACCCCAGCGGTGGGGAGAGGGAGGTGTCTGTTCCGTATTTTCCAATATGTATGTTAAACCCCAAAGTTCTGATGTTTTCATGTCAGGCGTCAACACAGGCATAAGTTTTATGGTTGAATTACTTTCGCTAAAAGCCTAAATAACTTTTTCAGTCTTTATCTGTGTGTGAAAAAACAAAAAGAGTATTGAAAAAAATAATCTCATAGGTAGAGTCTAGACTGACAAGATTGAAAAGTGAGGCCCAAATTCTGTCTGTGTGGAATGAGTCAGCACTCAGGGATGCTACTTCTAGCACTTGCCTCGAGTTCTCACTGTGCCTGAGACCTGCCCAGAATTCTATCCAGGGAGCTAAACAAAACTCAGCCTTTCTTGCATCCTGAAAGAGCTGGTGGTGCATTCTCCTTGGAAAGGTTCCTCTGCAAAGCTCCGTTGGGAGCACCACATCAAGCACAGAAGGACCAGGTCAAACAGAACTTTTCCTGTAGACTTTTGGGCATGGTATTTTGGAGAGACACTAACATGCTTCCCACTCTGTCCTTGCCTCATTTCATTTTCCTTTTAGATTATCTAATATGCATATATAACACAGGAGAAAAATGCCTTGTACTCCCTCAAGCAGCCCCTACACTCCTCATGCTTGACAGCTGGGACTTTTGCCTATAGTTATTTGGTTGTTGTTTAACACATAGAAATATGGCAAGCTGTGGAAGTTGTTCTTAGCAACTGAATTCCCCTGAAGGATCCAGACAGAAGCAGCATGGTCACAGACACCTATTATTATTTTTAACTTGCTAGCACATGTGCACTCAGTGGGTTTATTCTTATTTTTAAGAAAATTAATCACTTGAAACATATTCAGTGATGGCTGCTACTGCAAAAGCTGTCAGAGGTGCTGTCTCACCAGGCTTGGGGCTCTGTTCTACACAAACATGAGGAGTCACATTGTGGCAACTAAAAGTACCCTGCAAGGAGGCAAGACCCTTCCTGTCAGCGTGTTGGAGGCCTTGGGGGTTCAGCTGGGTGCAGACAGTAATCATCTGACGGCAGAGAAGTGATAGGAGCAGCAGAAGAGGACAGAATCAAAAGGTGCTGTTTGCAAAATGAGCTCAGTAAATTGGGTTTGATGGCCTCCTTGTTGGTGCCCTCCCCCAATGTCAATTGGCAGTGAATTTCCTTGGATATCCTTAACTGCTGAGCTCTCCAGCTGGGTCAGAGACAGCGATGAGCCAGCCCACACCAGTGCCTTGCAGCTGGAGTTTTGGGTTCTGAGTCCTGGGCTGGTTTGTTTGTTCAGGCCTGGACCATCCAGAGCAGGACTGGAAATCTGACCGGTTGTACAGAGAGTTGTGGGCTAAACACTTACCATCTGACACCGGTCCTTAGCTGATCATGCCAAAACAGAAATCTGCAGGAACAAACTTTTGGTTGACACCTCAGAGAAGGGAGAATTCCTTCATTCCATCTCAGCACAGGAACATCTTCCACCTTGCTGACTCGGCAGTAGGGACAGGTTGCAAACGCCGTGGTGGGGTGAGGGAGTGCACACAGCACACGGGGCTTGCAGATTAGCACCTTTTGTGTTTACCTTCAACTTAAACAAAGAGGTACAAAAATGTGGTTTTAATCACTCTCTTAGAAAGAAAATACTTGGCTTTCAGCCTTTGGATTTTTATCCCTTTGTTTTTTTTTTTTTTTTAATCAGTGACTGGCTGCCTTCAGTCATTTCTGTCTTACTCCATCTGATTTTGCTGATGGAGTTGGATGCAGATGTTGCACACTTTATTAATTAAAAGCCTTCCTTGTCTCTACCTAAGGACTTTGGCTTAGCTCATAGAGACTTCATAATGTCACTAGTGATCACATTACTTAGCTTGATAATATTAAAAATATAATCCAGTGGATCCTACCGGCTTGAGAACTCACTTTTATTAAAGTGCTTTACATTATGAAAAATTATCCTGTAGAGATATATTAGCCAATGGATAAAGCTGACCTTGGTTTTCACAATAAATGGGAATTACTGAATTTATTTGTTCCTTAATTCTCCTGGGCACTTATTCAATGCTCTTTACCCAGGCTTTGAGGCAGCAGGCAGAAACCATTAGCCTTTGTGAAATCAGAAAAACTTAGGGAGTGACAGGGTTTGGCCAAGGTCATGAAGGTCATGGAGCCAATGGACAGAGTGAGTTAGAGTAGAACCCTTTATGTTATCCACTAAAATCCTGCTTCTGCCTGGGCTCACTTTAATGTAGATGGAAAATCTGGAGCCTAGTTTAAATGCTTTGTCAATTTAAGGCTGCTTAAATTTTCCCTTCAGAGATTTTTCTCAGGATCTGAATTCCCTGCATGAGCTGCACATTAATATCTGTAACTGTAATCTATAACTTAATTGTATTTATTCTGTGGCAAAGTTTTGTAATTGCAACTGCCACTTCTTATCTTCATCAGATAAAGGTTGCATTACTCAGACATTGGACTGGAATACTGATGGATGGGTTTTGAATTAAAAGAATCTACAGAAAGCAATCTGAGGTTTTTTTTCTTTGATACTTCTATGACAGGCACAATTTAGCTAAGCAAATGTGGGTCTACTGCCTGACCATAAAAGCCTAAATGTCATTTTAATGCAGGGTCTCATCCATTAAAAGAATATTTTAAAGAATCAGTTTTTATCAAACAGAAAAAGTCCTTTTTACCTCATCTGAAGAACACTTTATAGGGGTAATTTCAAATATCTTAGACCTCAAGTTTTCACATACCTTATAAGTGGTTTAATTCAATGATGGAAAGATTTTGCTTCAAGTGCTATAATCCAGATAAACAGAAAAGGTTGTATCAGCTGTTGCAAGTAGTGCACAAATTTGAATTCACTGTAGCCTTTAAGAAAAAGACTAAAACCATTCCTATGGATAATCTGAAGGACCAAAAGCCACTGTCCCAGAAGAACTGTAGGTTGGGTCCAGACATACTGATGAAAATCCACAATAACATTCTGCCTGTTTTCTTCCGCTGTGCTGCTGCCAGCGTGGAGCAGTGACAGAACTGTCCCCCCAGTCCTAGGGAAACTCCTCCAGTGAGTGTATCTATTTCCTGAATGCTTTCTTTTGGCCATACATCAGCTTTTTACTGCTTCAGATTGAAAAAGATCACAAGTAACCCAGGGGCAAAACCTTCCTAGAAACTGCCTGCAATCATCCCGTGCTGTTTCATATCTCCCAGGGCACAGGCAGAAGTCGCTATTTCCTGTTGATTAAGGGATGCTCTGTGTTGTAAATCTCGGGAATTTACTCTTCCCCCAGTGCTGTTTGGTTATTCCTTTCTGCCTGCATCTCCAGCTCCACAACATCACCCCTGCTGTGGGAAAGGCTCTGGCTTCTTTCTACCCACATTTGTTGAGAACAGACCAGTGTTCAGCTCTCCAGTGCACCCTGGAACTTCTCAGAAAATCATTTGTTGTGGTAACAGCGGTGTTTAGATGTCTACCTCTCCTTGCGGTGAATTTCTGGCTCTGGGTTAGTTGGCAATTATTTGACAGAAACAGCATTTAAGATGGAAATTTAAAAAAAAAAAAAAGTATCTTGAAAAATTCAGATATTGTCTGATGTAGTTAGATGAGTTGGTACACTCTGTGTTACTAAAATGCAACATTGACACTGCAAGCTGGCCCTTAAGGCGTGTGTATAATCGGTCAATTTGGGAATCACTGGTGGTGGGCCAGGCAGTATAATTCAGGACACATTGCTGAAGTTAAGTTTCCTCCCTGACATCTGTCAGGATCTGCTCTTAGCTGCAGCGATACCCAGCAGTTTCAGAGACTGGTTGCACATGCACGCAAAGCAAGGGGAAGGATCATTTAGATTTGATTTATTGATATTGCCAGTGGATGTCTGAATTGAAATGAAGACTTGATAAATATGGTAATATCAGTTTTCATTAAAAGACTCAAAGTACATGTAACATAGAAGAAGATAAAACAGAAAGTAAAGTTTCTTAAATGGTGCATTTTAGAAGAAAATGTATATGTGTAGATATAGATACACCTATACCTACATGTATAATATAACAGAATAGCAGAGTGTATTTCACTGGAAGAGTAAAAGAAAATATAAAAATAATCGAAAACTGAAAACTCGAGGCCTAAATAAAATCTCAGATAAGGAAAGGATTCCCCAGAAATTCAGTCATGTTCATGATGACATGTTTCTCTAGTTTATGTGTGAAAATAAAATTAATCAATTGATCAGAAGAGTTACTTTCAGGAGAGCATTTGAAAGTTACTTTCACAGATTTCCATTTAATGCTTCCTAGAAATTGGAGAACTATATCAATGTTTTTTTCTTATACTAACTGGGTTTAATAAGGGAAGGAAGAAATGAAGGGAGGAAGGGAAAGAAAGAAAGAGAAGGGAAGAGAAAGAAAGAAAGAATCCTTATTGATGGATGTAAAAGTACATTTTTATTTACTATAACATTAGTATCACAGCTATCCTAGAATATTGACTCCTTATGAGGTCCCTTCCCTCATGACACAGTCCTGTGCTGAAATGAAATTTTACTGAATTGCTACTGAAATGAAACGTGTTACTTGTAAAAATATAGAAAACTGGGCAGTTTTTTCTGACTTGCCAAACATAAACAGAAGTGGTTGCAGTGAGCTCTATATCTGTGAGAATGATGATTTATCGTTGCCTTTGTTTCTAGTAAAGGACAACCCTGCCAGGGAAAAGAAAGTGTCTCAGTTATCAGGGCATTGTGCTCCACTGCTTCCCAGTTGAAAGATGAGCTTTTTGGGGAGAGGATGCTGCCTGAATTAGCTCTGTTATCAAGGCATTGCAACAAACAGGCATTTTAATGTAGGAAAAGTGTCTTTTAGACCAATATTCAGCATGAGAGGGGGAAAAATGATGCCTTTTGCTCCTTGTGACTGTTACAGCCACATCTTCAGCCAGCAGTCCTAAGGACTCAAACAGCGCCGCGTTCTAACCGTGCCAGTGCCAAAGTGCAGCGTGGTTGGAAGGTGTGTGAGCCCTGTTAACAGACAGCTGTGGCACTGACTGTGCCTGCCAGTCCTTGGAACTCTCATGGCCTTTGAAGGCTGATTTGCTATCTCTGCTCACCAACAAACCCTTCGCTCGTGAGTAAAGGTTACGTTCCTGCGTGGCAATCAGACACAGCTGACACTTCAAAGGCATCACTTCATGATTGTAACCTCTCATATGGTGTCTGTTTGATATGCACTCCATAGAGTGAGGTTAATTGGGTGCTCAGAGAGTTTGGATTTATCAAAAACAGCCCTAAACTGTTCCTCTTCCCCCCAATAATAAACTCCTCATTAGGATCTGACCACACTGCTGAGGGACCTGCCTTTTATCTGCCCAGCACATTGACATAACTTTGCTTCCTGTCAGTGCATAATTTTGTGTTTTAATAGTTCTCTTATCAAGGTAGAGATCTCAGGACCTCACAGAACCCCATTCAAGCACATTTGCAGTGCAGACGGTAGATTGAGTTTAGATATTTAATTAGGACAAGGAAACATACCTGCATTGATCTCTAACATGGAAATACCTACTTTTGAAATCCTTGGTGAAATTGCAGGTAGTTTTTGCTGTCTTTTCAAGAAGAGGAAAAGGATTTAAAAAGTGTTATTTCAGAAAATACTTTCATCGTGAAAAGATCAAATTATCAGCAAACAAGCACCAAATAGACCAGTGGTAGAGCTTTACAAAACTGAGTTTTCTAAAAAAAGGATCACTTGCACCAGAAAAAGAAAGGAGTATGAAGAAAGGAAAATCTTCTTGCTTTGTGTAAGCTGTTTCATCAACAAATTTTTTGTTCTGATGGAATGCACATGTTGCACAACAAAACAAAATACACTCCAAAAGAAGTTGTAGCACGTCCAGGAAGAACTTTACTTCCCAAAGAAATAACTCTTTTGAAAAGTGGCCTTTTCTGTCGATATTTGTTCCATTTATTTTTTCTCTTGACTCATACAGACATTTTTAGGAGGAGGATTTACCAGCCAAGATAAGTAGAGTGCCATCCTGAATTTAGGCACAATGTCTTGAGGTTTTATGCTGCACAGATGAACTGCAGGGAACCTTTGGTCAGCTCTGTAACTGAAAGCTGGACTTTGCTATTGATGATTTTGCTGTCATGGGGCTTTTTTTCCTTTTCCTTGTGCAGAGAGGACTTAAAAGAAGAACAGTGTTATTTATGTGGGGATTTACTCTACATTTGCCTCTTCTTCACTAAGAGTTAGGCATTCCTTTTTCAAATTTTCAGTGTCTGATGAGCACTGAAAACCAATCACTTCGGGGGAACGTATGACTGAAAAGGCAACTAGATGCTCCTGAAGTTACACAAGCTGGAATGGGAAGTGCAGGACATCAGGCCAGCTTTTCAAAACATTTTTGTGGTTGAAG